GCACTATTCTCACTTTATAGATTCGTATATTTTTATCTAGTTCTATTCAATGTATTTTACTGACACAAAAAAGTAAATTGAACTTAAACAATGGTTATAGAATTTATTATACTACTGGTATTACTGGAAAAAATACTAGTGCCGAGAATAAATTTGACAAAGCCAAAATATACTTGAGCATAGCAGAAAATTGACTGAGCACTCTGTTTCCATCAGAAATCGAGAGAACTTTCTTGTTTGTATATGATTACCTGCTTTTAAACTTACAAAGTTTATTATTTTCTAAGTGCTATGGCACGAAAACTCAGATTATTGAGTAAATAATAGGGTTTGAGTACCACTTTGAGTTTTATAAAACCTGCACAACTTTTCCTCCAACAACGAAAAAAGATTTTCTAACCTCAAAAAAAAACACTCAGAGTTTCTTTATGGCAACTACACATTATAATAATGTTCAAACATTATTTGTACTTATTTTATATCACATGATTGTCACTTAAGCATAACATAATGGGAAAATTGGTCCAAACTAAAGAAAACTTCCCTTGTTTCTGAAGTATAATCATGCAATTCCAGCTTCTTAGATAAAGAATAAAATTTGATTCACTACTACGCGAATTTATTGTACCTAACCCGTATACACTAAAATAAAAATAGGTGTGTTTTTCGTACTAAAATGTTATAATGGTGTTGTAAACTTTTTATATTCAGCAACAAATATATCAATTTAGATAAGTACATTATAATAGTAATAAGTATGTAATACTCCAAAAATTTCAGGAAAATAATTTTATTAATCAATAAAAGAAATCGTTTCATTCGTAAGTTTTTCCAGACATCCTGTATATGTAATTCCGAAAACTATGAATACATTAAATTGTAGACCCGTAAAATTTTGCAATTTTAAATACGATTTATTTAATCAAATTTTGCGGTGGCGTCAACAAGTTTTTGAAAGAAAAAAAGATTTATGTTTTACTATGTTTACCATAACCTTATTTTAAAACGTTTGAAAAATATCAGAGCAGTCTCTTTTGTAGTTTCCAAGTTAAATTATAAAAAGCTGTTGTACAACTTCGCTTTTTTTTAACTTAAAATATTAAGGTACAGTTGTCCCAGTCTTACTTCGTTTATATGACACTGTAATCTCAATTACCGCATGCATTAGGAACTCTATTGAAAATGTAAATAGCCGTACCATAAATCATTTTAAGGGTTTACGGGCGCGTACGGCCCAGTGTAGTGTAGACATTTGGTGTCTTGATGCTTTATGACTGCTGGATGACTTGTGGCAGAGGCCTATTGTGGAAGACTTAACTCCTTCACAATGGGCAGTCGTAAAAACGAACCAGCACTTGGAACAGTATACAAAATATGAGCTGATCAATAAACAACAATGAGCGAAGCGTATAATTTTATAAAATTTAAATAGCATCAAATTTTCAGATGACGTCATAAAATTGTATGTGGGAATGATGTAGTTAGCGCCTTACACGATTTTTTTAAAATACTTCTAAAATATGACAAGAATCAGTCCAGTAGTTTCGGAGGTTATCTCCTTAATAAAATTTTCAGCAGGCAGCAGACAAACAGAAACGGAATACCTCCTTTTTCATACTATATAAGCTAGGAGAAACTTTAAGAAAACACGTAATTATCCATTCGCTAAATGGACCCTATTACGATTAAAGTGTCAAAGATTTGGTCTGTATTTATTCTGTATAAAATAATTTTTTCATTAGTGAAAAAATACCTAGTACTGTCCAAAGGGAGTTAATAAGCACGTGCTTCTCAATATTTTACTGCTTTTTCAGTAGCATAAACGAAAATTATTTTCAACCAAGTATAAAGTGTGCCGTTTTAGAATCACAAATAAATTTTAAGGTTTTTAAAGAGAATGTCTTATATATAGGATGATTAAAAATCGCGCACTAACTCAAGGGTAGACTATTAAATATATAGTTATTTCAAAAAATAATTACAAATTTCCTTACGTTAATTTGACATTCACTTACAAAAACAAAATATAGATTTAGGTAGATAGATATAAACATGTGACACATCAGCTATTGTTGTCAGATTCTTTCTGAACAATTTTTTTGTAATATGTATAAATAACATAATTATAAAATGAAGAAAATTATGGACACAGAATAATGAAATTCCTATCGATTTTACGTACCCAAGACCAAGTCGTGAATCAAAATATGGTCAAAATGTAAAAAAATAATTAAATTTTGAAGGTTTGTGTCTTCTACATTTGGGCCCAAGAATTTTTCAAGTTATTTTTTCTTTGCTCAATAAACAGTTCTTAACAAGTATCATAGAGTTAGGGCGCCATTTTTGAATCACCCTGTATACAATCACTAAATGGTCTATTTATTTTTGAAAGCGATGTTACCAAGTGTTTTCGACTTTACGGAAATTTTTAACACTACAAGGTTTTACAAAAAACATCGCACGAAGGTTATTTTTATTTCCTATGTTGGGATATTTTATGGATAGATGAACAAAGGTAGGCCATTTTTTAAAGTATTACTATTAACATACATGGTGTGCTTACAAAGAAATTCTAAAATCTTATAAATTTCAACGTTTTGGGATGTCAAAAATCCCACAAACTATCAGACATCTAGAATATATACTTACGAAAAAAGAAACATGCGGAGTCAAAAAATACGGAAAACATACAAAAGCGAGGCGATAGTGGAACGAAGAAGTGAAACAAGAAATCTAGGAAAAGAAACTGCTATGAAAAATATATCTTCGAACAAAATCGAACGCGGACAAAAAGGAAAATAGAACCAATACAGGAAGAGGACCAAACAAAAAATAAAAGATTCGGAAAATAAGTGTTTTGTAGAATTCGGACAAGAAATGGGAGAAATACACAATCAAATAACAAGAAATTCTGGCGTATAGTGAAAAAACTCAAGAGGAAATAAGCAAAAAGGGACAAGATGGATAATATAAGTATGAGAAGAACCAGTTAAAAACAAAAAGGAATAAGAGACAGTAGAGGAATCAGAAAGCCCCGACGAGAGTTATAATACAGAAGAAACAACAACAGAGAATGGAAATTGGTATTGCCACAATGATAACAGGAAAAGCATGTGGAGATGAGCAAATTGAACCAGAAATAATTAAAGAGTTCGAACGGAACAAAGGGAAAATTGAAGATAATGTAAATTTTAAATAAAGCATGGCAAGAAGAAAGAATACCCAGAAACTGGAAAACAAAAAAAGACGGAACTATTAAAATTTTAAAAATAGGAGTTGCGTTCAAAAACTAAACTCTGCACTATCTCAAAAATAGAACACTCTGTATATTTAAAAATAATTTTAGGTTATGTAAGCGAAAAAGCCGAAAAAAATTTGGTCGTTTATTGTTTTTCATCTCTAGTAATTAACAAAATATCCAGGAGGAGCACTCTTACTGACTCACACTGTACTCGTACATGTGAGGCGTTGAATGTTTAATTATGCCATCCATCTTCCTCGGCATGTAATAACAGCAAGCTACATTGTAATCAATTTTGTGACCTAATGTTTAAAAATTCAATTGTTGTGTTTGCAAAAAGAAATTACAAATCTTTCTCGGTTCATAAATCATATACGAGTACATTTATTGTTAGATGATGTAAAACATGTGATCAATTCGTTTCAAATTTGTATTTTTTTTTACGTTTTAAAATTATCACATCGTCAACCTTATTTTTCATTGCATTTAACTATTCACACGATTTGGCAATTTACAAATTAATTACTGAATAAATAATAAAGCAATTGCATCAAAAATTATATTCCTCACTGCACAAAATTTGTTTATTTTTGTTGACACTATAAAATTGTGGTTTCCCGAATTTTTCTCCAAATTTCAACGATAATTGTACATATTTTAAATACTTAAATGCTTCACAATATGTGCAAAATATTAATTTTAAACAGTTTGATAAAAAAATATTTCTTAACAGCGTATCACCTAAATTAAAAATAGAAGTACTTTTAAGGCGTATTTTTTAAGCTAAATCGCTAAATGATAAAAAGTAATAAATATATGAAGTTTTGATAAGTATTTCAGGTTCTATTACCATACTGACAATTCACACTTTTCATCTCAACCAGGCTTGTTAGTAAAATATTGTCATAATTTCGAAAATAAAACAAAATTATTGCTCTTTTTCCATGTACTGCATAATCAATTTTTTTTACCGAATTTTGAATTTCTCGCTTCTGACTTTTTACCAACAGGGCTAATACTTGAAATAATAAGCAAAAAACATTAACTCCGCTTTCGTTATGGGGGTTCAGATTTCAAGCAATCGCCAAGTCGACGCCTATGTCTGCAACAAATCTATACACAAAAATCCGGAAATAGCCGCGTTAGACTGTGTATCTGATTGTAGATAATTGGTTTTTGTTTGGATGTGGTCAGTTAGATACAGTCCAACGACTCTGGAACTTAAAAACATTGATAACGCATTCTTGTTCTCGAACTTTGTGTCCTGTACGAAACTTATGACTCATATTAGTGATTCAAAAATGAATTATGTGCATTTCGCATTCGGTATTAGTCAAGTCTGTATCAAGCTTGATAAACACGTGGACGTTAATTAATTATTATCGTGAAATTCGCCGGAAATGAATGAACATTTTCGGCTGAAAATATGATCGGCGTAGTGGGGGGTACCTAAAATTAGAATCCCCGTAGTGTCATGTCATACATACTGTCTATGAAAATCGGAATGTTAACGATTTGATGCTAAAAATGTGTCGAAAATATTCGCGTGTTATTATTGGCATCATGGGAAATTTGGAATGAGATGAGTGTACTGATTCGCAAAATACTGGCACTAAAAGAGGATCTCAAACGAGTTGGGTAAATATTTACAAGACAACCGTACGCCAATGTATTCCATTATCGACGCCTCTACAAAACCGATAAATTCAATTTTAGGATTCGGAATAAAGGTCACAAATCGTTACTATACCGAACTTACCATTAGCATTTTCGTGGATTGTGGGCGAAACGACTTCCTTTTCTTTCCGTGGTTCTTTTCCATTGTTTCCTGCGAAACGAAAGCAAGCGTTAGGGTTGAAAATAACTCCTTTTTAAATGCGTACCGATAATTTAATAAGCAAAGAAGCATAAACACGTGACGATTAATAATAATGAGTTATTGCAATTTTATCTTTTAATGTGTTTGCATTGTGAAGGTCATCGCTCTAATACAATTGCAATGCAAAGCTCTTAAAATCCAAGGAAAATACTTCTGATAACTGCAAGATGAAAAACTGATGAATAATCTTTACACGTATAAATAGCTATGTGTAATTCCAAAAATTTCTCAGACAAACCGCTTAGTCATATTTTTGAAATAAAGACGAAGACCTCAAGGTCATTCTTGGTTTTCTTGGTCACGTGATTTCTGCTTTTTTAGCGATAAATTTACTCGAGCAGGCTGTGGATCGAGCATGGGGTGACATCTACCGGTTGGATATTGAGGTTCGCACTACAGGGAAGGTTCAGGTGACAACTAGTTGTGCCCGCGAAATTCAAAACAAACACAGATCATATTAAACCTTTCAACATTGAGTTACTACATTACGAATAAAATATATTCTAGTTGATTTTCTACAAGTGAATTATTACATGAACCAATAATAAAGCTTGCAGCTTCCTTTATTTCAATTATATAAAATGGAAAACCGGTACCTACAATTGAAATGTGTCAACCTACATCTCATTGTTTAAAATGTTCAATAACGATGTAAATTTGCAGTGACCAGTGGTCATTATAAAAATATAAAATAGGCAGTAACTATTAATTTTCATATCGATGAAGGTCAATACACATAAAATACGTTAATAAAACAAATGTATACGTTGTCATTAACATTAAACGTGTTGTTAAATATTATAGGGTTTTTGTCTTAATCAAAGCTACATGATATAATAATTATTAAGTTTTTCATGCTTGTTTTATTAGCACAGAACTTTAATATATCAACTCAACAGTATAATTAGATGTCAGAACCTGTGGTCTTTAGCATATAAATTATAAATGACAATCTACAAACCGAAATAAGTACAACAACGTGATAGTTTCAACATGATGACGTCATTTGTTCTAGACTTTACAGCGTACCAAGCAAACTTTACTGTCATATGATACAAGCACAAAGTGATATTCATTTTCAAGATTAATTATTACAGAGCTGGTGTGTTACACTTAAATGTATTCATCTGCATTATATACAAAAACAAGTGACTAGCTGTAATGGTTATATTACGGGTGTGTGGTTCTAGAACACTTTGTTAAAATTTTTACAAATCAGTAACTAACTATATACTGATATCTCGTTCATTTTTCATACAGCCTTTCAGCTTTGGATATAATTTATTTACATGTTTACTTCAGTTGAGACGTTAATGATCACAATGACAAGGTAATCGCACTAAATTGTTTTTCCGAAAAGTAATTCACTTCTAGTGTACGTGACGATATTTATTAGACATGCAAGGTGCTAAAATGATAGATGTTAAGTAAAATTTTTTCTCATAATAAATTCATAGCAACACCAGGCATTAGTTATTTCTTATTCACTACTGCGTTTGATAGATTGATACTTTGTTATGGAATCTCAATTAACTTTAGTTTATATAAACATAAATCTTATAATACATTACTATTTAATACCTTCTGAGTGCTGCTAATGATGCAGGAAATCAAAAATGAGCTAAATACGTGAAAAATTATCTTCTTATTAGTCTAAAATGAATATTACAATTTGATCTTATTAGGGCATCTACATTTTCAGTATCCATGAAAGGATTGTAAAATTCGAAACTATTTATTGTTTATTAACATATTAATCAGAAGTTATAAAATACTCTGGTATTTGTTTTTTGCAGGATTAAAATTGACAAATTTAATTTTATAAATCTACAATCTATTTTTACGTTCTATTTCTATATTGTTCTAGATTCCGCCATGGTGATCATGTTATAAAACATTATTCCTATTACTGTCAATGCTAGCAGACTTTCTGTCTCATCAATGAATATATCCATTGTACATAGCTACTACCGTTCTTTTCAAATAGATATATTCTTTGAAACTATAAATACAAAACATGTACACAAGGTGTAAACCGACCTTTTCGTATGAGTAAACTGGTAACTCTTCGCAACGCATCTCTCGGTGACCTCTGGAAGAACTTGGGCGTTAAATTCGGCGGGAGAGTAAGAGGTTTTCTGTTGGACTCCCAAGGATTATGACCTGACGCCATTCTATCCAGATGTTCGATAGAAGCAGGCCTTCGATGTCTCTGCTTGGGATACCAACCCCTCCCCGGTCCTCCCGCCAATCTCAACATCTCGGCTCCTCTTACAGCTTGCTCAAGACCCGGATTAGACAAGCCCCTCCTGTACCCTCCCGTCGAAACGTTCCCTATCGTGTTCAGGCTTCCTATCGTGTTGCTCTGTCTCGGTGCCGTCTGATTCCCTCCAGGTACATCCGGCGCTCTTCTGTGAGGAGTCCTCGGGATATCGCATCCCCTCGCAAATATCGGTGTCTCCGGCAGACTGCAAGAAGTCTGGAGGTGATGCTCCTCCTGAGGACTGTGCGAAGACCGCTTCTGGAACGGCTTTCGCTTCGACTCTTGTAGTTCCATTGGTAAAGTGCGTCTCTCAGATGGAATGTTTCTGCTAGACGAGCTGTAGAAATTATTTCGTCTACCTCTACTGTAATTCGCGTCCATCGAACGTGTTTTTAAGCTATTTGTTACGGGATCGCGATGTGGAGGCACTGCAGGTGGCTCACTACTTGCGGGCAGAGTATCTGCCCTAGTCTTTTCGAGCGGATGGACGATTTCGGAGTACTCATCCTCGTCTTCTTCCACCGGGGAAGGCGGCAGAGGTGGAAATTCGTGTTGAAGGACTTCCACGCGCACTGGGAAATCGGCCGAAGTGGACGTGGGCAAAGGCCGGTTCTCTCGGTGCGCAATCAGCATTTCTTTCGCACTTTCCGATTTCTGGATGCCGTTTCGTTTCGGAAACGGAGTACTGCCTTCGATCAACAACTGCCGGTAATAGTCTTCAGAACGCTGTATCTCATTGTGGCTGCTCGATTTTTGCAAGTCGTGCGCCTTTTTCGATTCCCTTGCGGGCTTGGTCGGAGCTTTCTTCTTCTCCTTTCTTTCCTTTCTAGTTATAGATTCCATTCCGTTTAGCAAACACTTCTCGTCTTGTTGAATTATTTCGATATCGCGTCGTTCGAGCAACTCGGTGATATTTTGCTCGATCTGGCGCAATGGTGAAATCTCAGTACTCTCTTGTGAAGTCTCGCCGTCTTCTTCTTCTTCTACTGTGACGTCTAATTCGCGGCGCGGCGGATACTCGTCGGCATTCAGACTGGGTAGCGAAACTACTCTTACAATGGGAGGAACAAGTGGGTTTAAATCGGAGGTACACTCAACAGGTGGAGAGTTATAGCTCTCTATAACTCCTTCTTTAATTAACGACTTAATGTTATCGAACGTGGTGCTGTGCTTCTTGAACTCGTTCCCTTGCTTACTCTGAGGCGTGCTGGATCTAGAACTAGAAAGATCAACACTAAGCCTTGAAGGCGAACTGCTCAATTCCTGACTCAAATGTCTCGAATTATTCAAATCTAAGCTATACCTAGATTTGGGAGAATTGAGTTCTTGGCTGAGTCTCGAATGCGGCGTGCTCAAATCTACACTATATCTAGAACTCGGAGTGTTTAAATCTCGACTCAACCGGCAGTTCAGATCTGTACTGAACCGAGACGCAGGGATGCTCAAGTCGGAACTCAGTCTTGAATTGAGCGATGAATTCGAATTGACCGAGCTTCCCATATTGACTAAAGACTTTCTATCTTTCTTCCCTCTTCTTACTATGTAGGTGCTAGTTCCTGATAAATGATCTGAATTGAGTTCCGGTGGCAATATCACGTGATCATCGGAATCAGAAAACGGTGATGTGACCTCGTCCTCCGTGGTGCATGGAGGCGGATCTGGCCAGTCTTCTAGTTCTTTTAGTCTATTCGGTATCGAACTAGTGCTAGAGTGTGAGCCGGATTTCCTTCGTCTTCTACCGACGACTTTGGTACTACCCGGCGTGAGGAGGGCTTCGTCGTCTAATGGCACCTACAAAAAACACGAACTCAGTTTGTGATGACAACTTAACGGAATTTAGTACCTCCCAAGCGATGCTAGCGCGCTTATTGGTCACTGGGGGCGGGGGCGGTAACATTTCTTCTAAGGAATCATCGGAGAAATGTTCATCGTCAGCTAACTCACTTAAAGGCCTCAAAGCAGACCCTTCTAAGTCACTAGAAAGATTGTCTTCGCTGCTACGTCTCTTCACTTCCCGATGACGTTCTAAAGCAGTGGGGATGGTCCTTGGAGGTACACGAGTAGGCGACGTGAGAGGATAAATGCCGTGTTGAAACGGAAGGCTCCCGAAACGGTACCCAGGAGGTGGTGGTGGAGGATTTAAGGTAAAATCGTTGTTTTCCCAACCATATGGACGCTGATGTCTCGTTTTTGGCTACGGATAATACACCATGAGACGAGTTCAAACACGAGTTTCCGTCTACTCACCAACGTTGTCTGCGTGGCAGTATGTATTGGATCGGGTAAACCGTTTATGATTGGCGTATACTCATTATTTTGGAACTTCTGTGGTGGTGGTATCGTTTCTACTCGGGCCGGTAACTGCGTTAATGGAAACTGCCGATTTCTACTTGAATTAGTGGTGTTTTTTGGCTTGTGCGCTGGAGAAACCCTGCAAAGAAAAATAATCGATTATTAGTGGCGCAAAGGACCCTTTTATGGAGTTTGCAGTTTCGAGGGAGATTACGACAATAAAGTTTTTTATGACAGCAAGATGACCATTCGGTGGGAGAGAAAAGTAATTGGACGATGCACCGTTCCTAGTACGTTAACTTAGGCTTGCAATACACGTTTTGCTGCACTTAAGAAACACTTTATTACTTTTTAAGAAAACGATTCCAACTTAATGGAAATAATTTCAAAACGGTTGCCACGTTAGTAGCAGCTTCGGATGCAGGGCAGACAATATTATTTAAAATTTTAAGCCTTCTTTAAAGCTCTAGTCTCGTTTGGAGTGGGTTTCGTTGAAGGAACTTTCAATAAAGCGTTATAAATGATTTAAATTTTTTGTCAACTTTTTTATAACACTATTTCCACAATCCTACAAACGCACAGCTGGAAATTATCTTTAGGTTGAATCTGCAACTTATCCTAATTGACATTTATTAGTGTGGTTTACTCACAGACATGCCAAATTTGTAAGAACAATGTCAGTGACGAACAAGGTCACGTAAATCTGGGACTTGGACACGTATGACAAGACTTCATTTCGCCCTGGGCGGGCTGTCTACGCAAAGACTGCAAATGTAATCCAATTTTAATGTAACCGTGAGTGGTGCTTCTCACCGAATAAAGGAAAGGAACCATGCATGCGCAAATAGATACTTGGACGCATATGAATAATATGTTGAAATGAAACTTGCCTTCTGGTTTTTACTTAAGTATTTCTGTATTATTCCGAACAAAATATTTAAATTTCGAAAACCCAATTTTCCAAACGAACTCCATAAACAATCTGCACTCTTAATCCCTCAACCACTGAATTGCACTTCGTGCACGAAACCATTTATAACGCACGAATTTGTTAGCAATGAAAGAAGGATGCTTCAGCAACACCCTGGCGCATCCGCCGTAAACGGCCAACAAGGCATTCGCATACCCAAGCTCACCCCTAACAAATTATTCAACTTACTTAGGCAATAACGTGGCTATGAGCCTCTGCGCCTCCTCCGGCGGCGGCGGAAAGTCGTCCGGGTCCCCAGGATGCATAATTGTGGGAGACTGTGAGGCATTCTCGTGATGGACAGGCACTTCAGCCAGAGGCTTGAAGGCTAAGTTGAACTTAGGTTTGCGGCCGTTCATGCTCATGTAACCGTCATCCTCTGACTGATGACCAAGAGAAGGGCTCTCGTCGTCTGGAGTGGATGATACGTTGCCGGTGGTCGAGTTAGCGCTGACTTGCCTCAGCTGCGGCGTCGACGTCGACGTCGTAATTTGTTGTATCTGCAGCGGTGTAAGATATTGGAAACTTCCATCACTCAATATCCAAGACGGACGGAGATACTCACGTTCTGCACTTGGTTCGCGTTTTCCACGTCGTCGAATTCGGACAAGACCCTGTCGAGCAGCTCGATGGACCGCTGCACGTCGTCGTTTCCTCTGTAAAAAAGGGTCCTTTAGGTAAGAGTCCTCCGAATATCTTTACTGTTACATTTAGGTGCCAAAAAATCGAAGAATATATATTCTTTAATGTAAAAATGTACTTTGGCTCTGTATTTATTTGCAATAAACTCACAATTAGTTATTAATTACTAAGACACTATATTTTAGACATGACTTAGGTACAATGGTATTAATTTAGCTAATCAAAAAGAGATACTAAATGAATTTGTGAAACACTTTCTCTAGTCATTTAGAAATACAAAAGGAACGGCAGACAAATGGACAGACAGACGGACAGACAGAAAGACGAAACATATTTTTCGTTTCATTGTCGTTGTGTAAAGTATGGCGTTGTTACAGTCTCAAATTTCCTTGATATTCCTCAACTTCTGATGAAAAAATAAGTTACTAATTTCCAGACAGCCTTTATTAAGACATGGTCGTGAGAGTGTAGCACTTGAAGTAGTTGCCATAGAAGTTTACTTATTGTTTACAAAATAAATAAGTTCTACTTGTTGCTTACAACTTCGAACAAACGATAACACTATCCGTGTTTGTATTTCCGCAAAAGCCATTGGTTTAATTGAACCAAATAATCATCATGTCGCGGTAGCATTACCTCACCAAACCGCTGTTACCGCCGTGAATGGAACAATTTCGGTAGAAAATGACACGAGAATATCGCCACCGAACGTTTGAAATAAAGCTTTCAGATATAATTTACATAATCTAAACAGTTTTTGTTTTTATCTTTAATGGAGACGTTGCTTCCTGCTCATAATACAAAGTGAAACGGTTGCCTTAAAATTAATAATCATGTTAAAAGTCAATAGTGCTCAGCGAATTTCATATTTAATTTAGAACCTTCCGTCCAAAATTCTACTTGATGTCTCCTCATTACTGTCGAGACAAATCGGGGATGATGTAGCGTGAAAATTGAAAGAGATAACAACGAAAAGAAAGTGATTTCCGTCCAGAAATACCTGGCACGCTTTTGTTAGAATTTTTGCTGAGTAATCAAGACGTGAGCATTTTGTACGGAAAGACGTTGTTTCGAATTTAGGCGGTAATTGTTCGGGGAGATAATGAGTAACATTACTTTGGCGTTGCCAAGATTGCGTTGTCAGTCGTGAGAGTTCACAAACATTAGTTCGCAACATACCAGAGTGTTTTGTTATTGCGTTTGTTATATCCTTGATTATTAGCAACGGTAAGGTATAAGAAATTAACTGGGGAGTTTACTGAGAGGTTTTAGCCCAAAGTTGTATTAACTGTTAATTTACCGTGGAAATTTAGTGCTTGTGTGCGACTCGAAGCAAGTATCTGAGGCAATGTCTTAATTTAATTTGGCCGGGATTTGCTGTAGTGTTCTTATATAAATTTCAACTACGACTTCATTACCTTGATGTAGTTTAGTGGCGCGACGATGTGGGATGTATATTAGCCAATTAAATAATACGACACAAATACCCGTGTAATAAGTACGTAGATATGTTAATTCAACTGTCTATATTTAATATTTTAGAACTGACTTTCTAATTTGTTCATTTTTTTAGTAAGGTTGTTTTGGTGGATGCGCCGGGGTCTGCGGCTTAATTAGTTCGTAAATAGCTTACCGTCTGCTGTGTTTAGTAAAACTATTTCACCGTCGCTAATTAATGAGTTTAGCTCATTTTAACATATAACTAGACTATAACAAAACGTCTCATTTTTGTGTGGAAACTGTGCGTAGTATGGTCAAAAACCGCAAGAAACCCAATGCGTCGAGTCCTGTATGTTTGAGTTTGTATTATTGACATTTTTTCTGTAAGTTTTATGTTTAAAATTAAAAGTTCAAAGTTTTTTAAGCGATTTTTATTAATAAAACGCAGTTTTCAGTAAAAACAAACTCTAAAATTTTTATTTTGATCCATCACGCTCTTGTCAGATTTAGTTTTTTAAAAAACTGTTTAGTTCAGTACGAGAAAATAACTTTTGTTATTGCACATTCTTTGTATTTTTTCCCATACGGTTCTACAAAATTCGGTAATCATAAAGCGACTAACACGATAGGACATTTAACGCTGCAGGTAGGTACTTTGCGTAAGCAGGAGATCTTATAACTTAAGAAATATGGGAAAACGTAATATTTTACTTATGCTGAGCATTACAGGCTTTTACATTAGCAGAGAATATTAGTCCTTAATGGGGTCACGGGCTTCCTTTAAATCCTCGAGAGTGCAAGGGGCATGCTTATTTTCTTTACGTCTCCACAATATTAGTCCTTCAACATCAGTCCGGTGAACTACGTAAAGAAACGACTTTTCGTACTGGTTCGTTATTTCGAAACCAAAATAGCCGAAAATCAACTAGTTATTATGGTTGTGTAGGAAAGTTAGAACACATGCAGCAAGCTCTATTGGTGTTATCTACACAGTCATTAGTTGTGCGTTATATCTCAAAAATAGAACACTTCATACTGTTGAAAATAACTTTAATGAATACTCGAAAAAGCTAAGAGCTCAAAAGGTAGATATCTACAACAAATTTTGTGTCTTAAAATACTACATACGTGTACCCAATACACTTTTTCGTATCTTTGAAATTTGAAAAACGACGGATCTCTAAAATGATCTTTCCCCCGAAATGTAAGTGAAGGTTTGATAAAATGGGATTACAACCCAAACATATTTCCTTTTCGTGATATCGTATTTCCTCCCTTTAGTAAGGTACGTGTTTTATGCCACATATCAATAATGTTAAAAACTGCAGCGTAAAAATCGAATTTTTTGTTTAAATTTGGCATAAATATCTAAAAAAAAAAATTTCCCTTGGCAGCTGATCGTATTTTTGCTTGTCTCGGTCTATAGAACGGCGCGTCATCTTTCACACAGCATACAATATTCAATACAATCCGACGCTTCATTCTGCATCTCCGCCACATGTGGAAGAACCTGACCTGGCCGTCCTATATCCAAGATTGATTGTATTTTTTCTCTCTGGTGTACGTTGTTCATGTTTTTCCACCCCTTGCTATTTATCTATCTCTCCTGGTTTTGTTTTTCTCCGGGCATGACCCCTTCATGTCATGTGTAATTTATAGGGTTTTACAAGGGCCTAGATTTTTAGGGAAAAAGATACGTGAAATTTTTATCCCGAACATCCTTCAATTTTCCACACTTCAAAGCACATTAAATATCGGTTTATTGCTGATAAAACGTACAGCGTAATGGGAAATACGGTGCCGAAAATTCCCCGGAAATTTGCTCGGAGTCGTAAAATTTATCATTAAAAATAGTATTTGGCTAGCAGACCTAATTGAAGTAATGCGCCATTATCGCTCGGAATGTAGGAATGTGAATGATCTATTACTGCATAATGTGCAAAATACTATCGGGCTGTCTCATGTTGCGTGAAAATGGATAAATCTAAGCGCCCGCAGTGCGGAACCGGAAATAATGCGATCGTTACGAATGTAAAAGTAGTCTGTTTTAGCAATGTTTTATTAGGCTTCTGTATTTACCGAATTTATCTGATTGTATTTGGTAGAATGCGAAATTGTAATTCTAAAGTGGAATTCCTATGCAGAATGCACTGACCGAAAAAGATCGACGATAAAACTGAATTATGTAACAAGAGGTTAAACTTGCGGAAACTATGATGTCTATACGTAGATACAATATTTTTACTACAAGATAGTGGAGACTAATTTACAAATATAAATATTGTTTCATAATAATAATGTTTAATAAATACTAGCATCAGTCATACTTTATTTATATATTAAATTATAAAATTAATAACATTAGAAAACAACAAGGTCAATTTACACAATATTTTAGAAGAGTTAGAACACCCCCTATCATTACATGCATGGCTTCAATATTGACCAAAAATAATTTTCACCCAACTCAATGAAAAATTATTCCATTGAAATTTAACTAATACAGAAAAAACTCAATTAACTAGTAGACTTTCAAGTTCACAGGATCTAACAACTTTCTGGTCAAAACTTTGGTCTCAAGAATTTGAATTTAATAAATTTGCCCAATGGATTCCTCACATTTCCAATAAACTATCCACAGTTACACCAATGAACGATTATTATCAAATAATACTTGACGAACTGATGAATGCCATCACTAGAACACAAAACTGGAAATCACCCGGACCAGACAATAATTTCCATAATTTTTTAACCTGCTATGGTTCTGTTTGGCAATAAATCCTCCTTCCGATAACTTGAACAGCTGCAATTATGGTTTCAATGTAAGAATTAACACCAAAACAGAAACTAGGTTAAGTCACTTGCTATAGTACCCGTAATGATAGAAGTCTTGCCTGAATGCCGATTATTTCCGGGCCAGAGGTGGGTTCTAATAATAGCTTTGTTATATTTAAACAAAAATTGTTTTTAATATGGATTCCTGTATAGCTATTTCAACAAAAATATTACGTTAATTCGGATATTTAAGGAAGTCCTCAAATTTGTTTTCATTAACGAGCAAAAAACTGATAATCACTAAGTGCTGTAGCGGCTTCGTCTTAAAATAAACTTATAAATACTTGGTAATTTAAACGGGAAAGACATTCCTAAAGCCAATTTAAACACATTTTGCGCTTTACGCAATTTAAAAAACCTACCGTTCGTACTGTAAACCGTTTTACAGCCACACAAATTGCAAGCACATAAACAAATTATACACTTTTTTTTAACTAAATCAATGTGGTGGTTCCACTCGAGGGTAAATCAATTATTTTTTCATTATAATCTGAAACCGACTGAATACGTTGGCGAATTGACGAACATTCTAGCGCGTTTAACAATTTCTCTCTATAACCAACTAAATCGAGCGTAAAATGCGATGTACGTTTCGTTTAATTTCCAGGTGTTCGTAAAATACAAATGCAGTTGTCACAGTGACGTCTAACATTAATAGAAAACTCGATTCTAATTGATGCACCCAAGGTCAGTTTGAGTCACGCGTATCCGTATCGTGCACAACGAAGCAGCGACG